TATGTACATTTTGTCACCCTAAAGTAACATATTACATAATTTATCTCCTCTATAATTATAGATTTTAAGGGAAAACAAATAGTACCCAAGTTCTTGCCTCCAATCCAACTACCTCTAATCTGTGCTGCTTCCAGTACCAGATAGATCTTCTTCTAATAATACCATTTTCATCATATCCAGGATCCTGAGCTGTGCACTCACGGTCCCTTACAAATTGTCCTCAATTCTCTGGTAATCCTGATTCTCATTACTTCTCAGCAAAGAACCACTGAAGTTTAATTATACAGTGCGTTTGATCTTCAAAGCCATTTCATAAACATCATCTTATTTGATTTTCACAACAACCCTTTAAATGGAGCATTTTGCTAAAGGAAGAAACTCAGAAACAAAATGATGGAAGATCATAGGGTGGCAGAGATGGAATTAAAACACAGATCTTTCAGTTCCAAGACCACCACTCTTTGCATTCCAATCAAGCCAGTCTCTCCAAAACACTGTGGCCCCACCTCTATGACTTTGATCTCTAGCTGGGATGTTCTCTCCATCTATCCAAATCTTACCAGTCCTCCAAGATGTCCATTTCAATGAAGACTTAGGCAACCATTCTACTCTAAATAAACCTCTGAACTGAACTTCCCCAACCTTAATAATGTGCACTGTTCGTTTTGTCCCCAATCCAATGGCTGCTTCTTAAATCTTTGACCTGGGCACGTGTTATTTATCTATATGGAATCTAAAGTTCTAGGAGAAAGAAATGGTTTTGGGCATCACCTCTGAATTGCCTATAGCATCTAATACAGTGTTAGTACATATAGAAATACTTCTCAAGAAATAGTGCTTGCTTTGAAACAGAAAAAGAGCATAGTACCTGAGACATAAAAGATTGATATAAGGTACAAAGGTAGGTACACCTAAGAATGAAGCAAAAAAGTTCCGCTGAAAAACAAAAAGGTAAAGAATGAAGAAGTATCCTGTAATGAAGACAGCACTAGCAAATCTGGTTTGAGGACTGCAGCAGCCCGGACTCCAAAGAAAAACTTGAAAGACTAATTGTAACTACTTCAGGGAGAGGACAGTAGGGTTCACTTCAAAGCTGTGGAAGCGCTGCAATAAATCTTTAGCAGCTATAAAGGGCATGAAATAAGTCTAGAGAAAAGAGTGGCGAGTACCCTCGCTATAAAACATCGATAAATCTATTAAGCTTTTCAGGTGAGTCTTCAGATGAGAGTCAGCTTCTCAGCCAAACTACTCTTTGCAGGACTCCACACAAAATTTAAATCAAGGCTGGGTCTTGCCGGTTCGCATACTAATCCAGTTCCCTTTCCTTCCCAGTCTTCCCATGCCTGCTCGATTGCATTAAAAATGGAAGCGTTTGGAAAACTTTTGTCAGCAGATCCTAAATATGGCTTTCAAGTTCGGCGTAGATCTGACCTACCCTAGGTTCACTGAATCGGTGAGATGACAGATCCTGCTTTTCCTACTAACCACCACATGGACGCGGCAGCAAACCCAACCCCAACCTGTAGGGTGCTCCCGGCCGCGCGGCGCCCGCCACACCTCCCCTTCCAACTGCTCTGAACCCAAGGGGGAACCTTCGAGTCCAGGGTCGATCAGGGCGCCAGCACCGACAACTCATTGGCCAGCTCCTGGTACTGACAGGACATGAAGCCAATGAGAACGCGGTACCGGGCCGAGGCCGGGTAACGTGCTTAAGGAAGAGGAGCCTTCGAGAAGAGAACCAGGTCAAGGCAGGAAATTCGGGCTCTCGAAACGCAGGAAGTCATGCGAGCGGTGACTGCGAGTCAGTGGGAACAGAACTCACCCACGGCGACAGCGCCCATAACTGCATCCCCTAATGAGCCTGTGGGCTGGGCAGCCAGCTCCGTCTCCCTCCCGGTGACGGACAGAGAGCGACAGAGCCGAAGCCAGACTGACCCCTAGAAAGCAACAATTTCCGGTACGCGGCATTATGGGAGGTGGCTTAGCTCCAGGGGCCTGCGGCGCTGACGCTATTTCATTGGCGCTTGTGCGCGGTTCCCTCCGGAAGTTCAGATACAGCCGCCTGAAAGAACCTGGCTGTCAGTTTTCCCCACTCTGGTGTAATTATGGGGTTGTTTAAATGTTTCGGAAGCATGAGTACCTGGTGGTGGTCAGAGTATTGGAATCTCCTGGATGGGTTACCTTATTCACATTACATCTAAAGGCTGGCTAGGAGGGTAAAATTTACATTTCACGCAGTTCTCCTAATTCTGCCCAATAGCCTTCTAAATGTTGAGTACGTAAATTGTCTTGAACTAACCTTGCCCACGGAAGGTAAAATTTTCAAACATTTACTGTGTGTCCGTTAAAAATATGTAAGGGCCCAGTCCCCTGTGAAGTGAATTAAATGAACATAGGCTCGCTACCCTAGGGTTTAGTCTTCTACAGAAGACACAATAATAGCTTGGGGAAAAAAAGATGCAAGCGCCAGTAGAAACATAGGCAAGGAATATGAACAGGTAATTCACAATAAAAAGACAATTGGTCATAAGAGATAGGAAGAAATGTTCCTCCTTATTAGTTATCAGATAAAGGTAGATTAAGTGGCATCCTAACCGTTCAAACTGGCCAGAGTAGCAAGGGTTACATTTAACTCTTTTGCTCTTTACTGCTGATAGAATTTTTTAAGCTTTCTTCACTCAGCACACAGGCATTTTTTTTTTTCTATTCTAAAACGCAGCCTTAGGGACATTGTACCACTTCCTTCCTCTGCCTAGAATGCTGCTCCCCATGATCTTCTGTGGTTGCTATTTTATTGTAATTCTGTTCACACCTTAAAAGTTACTTTCTCACCGAGAAATTGGGCAATCTAGGTTATATAGCCACCTGATCATTCACGTCACTTTATTTTTTGTCACTACCCAGCAATTATCACTAATATTTTTCCCTTATATTTACCTATATATATCTTCCCCCTCCAGCCCCCATACATACACAGAAACATGCAAATGTAAGCTCTTTGAGAGATGGGATATCTTTGTCTTGGTCGTGGCTATCTCTAGTATCCAGAAGTGTCTGGAACATAGTAAATGCTCAATAAATACTTATTGAAGGATAATCATTAGAAATGAAAAATTTTGCAAGAATGTTCATAGTAGCCTTACTCATTTTAGCCAGAAACTAGAAACCCACATTTTGAACAAAAGAATAGGAAAACTGTGGTATAGTCATAAAATGGGATTCTAAGCAATAAAAAGAAACTGTAAGGCACAAGAACATGGATCAATCTTTAAAATATTATAGTGAAAGAAGACTTATACAAAAGTACCTACTATATAATTCCATGCATATGAATAGGCAAAACTAATTATGGCAGGAAAAAATCAGAACAGTGGTTGCCTCTTGGGGGTTCAGGTGGGGACTAACTGGGAAGGAGCATGAAGGAACTTTCTAGGATGCTAGTAATGTTCTATATCTTAATAGGATTTGAGCTACACAGGTGTATGCATTTATCAAAACTCAGCAAATGTACATTTAAGATGTGCATTTCATTTTTACCTCAAAATAAAAAATTTAATCTTAATGTTATGCACGCTGAAGTACTTAGGGAGAAGTATGCTAATGTCTGCAATTGCTTTGAAATCCATCAAAACAGATAGACTGATGAACAGATTAGATATATGACAAAGTTGGTAGAATAAAATGTTCCGATAGTGTCTAGAATCATGATAGCACCGGTTTCTTAACCTCAGCACTATGGGCAGTTTAAACCAGCAAATTCTTTGTTGTAGATGGATGTCTTCAGCATTGTAGAAAGTTGAGCAGCATCCCTAGCCCCTATCCATTAGACGCCAGAAGCACCCTTCCAGTTGTGACAACTCAAAATGTCTTCAGATATTACCAAATGTCCCCTGAGGAGCAAAATCACCCCCTTTTTTTCTTCCCTGAGGGTCACTCCACTACTTCACTGTAAAATTCTCTCAACTTTACTGCATGCTTGAAATCTCTCATAAAAATTGGAAAAGGGGGGCACCTGGGTGGTTCAGTTGCTTAAGTGTCTGCCTTCAGCTAGGGTCATGATCCCAGGGTCCTGGGGTCCAGCTCCACATCGGCTCCCTGCTCAGCGGGGAGCCTGCTTTTCCCTCTGCCTGCCGCTTCCCCAGCTTGTGCTCTTTCTCTCTCAAATAAATAAAGTCTTTTTAAAAAGTTGGAGAAAAAAATAGATTAAAAACATTGAAAAATGCCCACAAAGCATCAAGTCAAAGATGCAGCTATGAAAACGTATGTACTAAACTTATTTTCATTAAAAAAAGTTCAAGTTATTGATAAATTATACCAATGAATATATTCACAAAAAATCTTGAGATTTCTAAAATGAATATGTAACATAAAGAAAAAAGTGCATTACCTATATTTAGATTGTGAAGAAAAAATCTAAATTACTCTCATGGTGGAGTCGCCTTCAAACTGTCCTTTTATTATCAGTGACAGATTTCTATTAAGTAACACAGTATTTCCTGAAGTCGCCACGACCACCATCCAGGCTCACCTCTCCCTAATGCCTTGCTATTTAGGGGCCAGAAGCATCCCTCTTGTGTGGGAAGATACCAGAAACCCAGAATAGGGAACCCCTCTCCTACCTATTGAATCCCAAGCTACACATAGCCGAACGATTCCTACGCATGTTTGAATTTGAGGAGCGTTACTTTAATGGACCATTCCTTGGCCCAGGAAACAGTGCCGTCTAATACTTCTCCGTAACCCTGGCAGCAGCTGGGAAATGCCAATAGGGTGGAATTTGAACTTTGCGGCTGAGAAGCCCATAGCAGTGCCAGGAATTCCAGCCGTTGAGCACCTGCCAGGACCAAACAGCCAGGGCCAATGGGCTTCCGGGGCCTCTGGCCCTGAGCGCGCGCATGCGCCAAACGGAGAGGGCGTTGTCTCACTTCCCTACGCCGCCTCGCTGGAGTGGTTTGTAGGCTTCGGATTGCCTAGCACTGGAACTCTGAGGCTCCCTCCGGATGAGACCTGAGCTGTCCGTGCAGCCATAAAATCCAGGGTTTCAGCACCGAGGGGGTCCGTGGCTCCAGGTGAGTCTTCGGTCTACTGCTGCCCAAGTGAAACGGGAATTTCCCGTGTAGCAGAGGCCAGTTTCCGACTCCGGGAACTTGGCGACGTCGCGGCCCCGCCTTTCCGCGCGCTACACACTGCTCATTGGTTAGAGCCGGCTGTTCCTGACCCCGCCCGCAGTCGGGACCCTCCCTTCCCACACTCACCACCATCCCTAGGCCCAGGCGGTTGTTAGGAGCGACGGCGCCTGCGCACAAGGTTTCGGTAGTGGCGTTCTGCTACTTGCCGGGGGTCAGGGCTTGTGCCTCTTGGACCCGCTCTCCTCTGTAAAATAAAAATCTGCGAGGAAAAAAAAAATGGTACCACTTAGGAAACTCGGTTTTCATTCTACGTTCGTACACAATTCACTGAAATCTTGAGTCCAAAAAGTCTTTTCAAGGGTTTGGGTTTCTTTGCATTGAAATCTTATCTACGAAAATAATTGGACAAGTAAATAATATACCTGTAACATCACTCCCATAGTTGTTCGCACACGGGTCGCTTGGCCCCAAACTTCTTTGCTGGCTCCATTTCATCTTCCAGACCTCCGAACTTGGAAGGACTTTCTCCCAACTTCACTCACAAAGTAAGTGACAGAACAAACATGCCTTTAAATATATGTTGGTTACTCCCAAAATACATCTCCAGCCGGATACCTCATAAACTGCATAATTGTACATCCAGCTGTCTCCTGAACATCTCTGTTGAGTAGATGTCTTAATAGGCACTTCATTACATAGTATTTCTAAAACCAGGCTTCCAGTGTCCACCATCTTCCCTACCTAAATGCCAAATCCATCCTTCCAGTCTCTTAATGCCTTGGATTCATTCTTACATATCACATATAATTTGTCAGTAAATCCTGTTGGTTCTACTCTCTATATGTCCAAAACTCGAAAGTTGCTCACCACCTGGACTACCACATCCTAATCCAAGCCACTGTCATCTCTCCCCGAGTCATTGTAGTACCTCCCTGGTCTTTCACGTTTCATCCTCATTCCCCTGCACATTTCACAGCATCAGATATGGGCCTCTCCATAAATAAGTCAAACCCCTGCAATGGCCTTCCATATCAGACAGAATAAAATCTGAAGTCCTGGCCATGCCCTCTGAGTCCTAATATGAACTGCCCCACATTTCCTCTCTAATCTTGTCTCCAAAAATCTTGCTCCAGGCTTAGTCAGCTCCAGTACCTAGTCTAGCACTTCCCTTCCACAAGGCCTTTGAACTTGCTGTGTTCCTCTTGCCTAGAAAACGCATTTTTTGTTGTGATTTTTGAGATTTTTTGGTGATTTTTTTCATTGTTTTAGTGCCAAGGACAATGCTTGACACACAATAGGTGCTCAAGACACATTTGTGGATGAATGATGAATAACAACAGCAACCACTTTTATAGTATTTACTCTGTTGCCAGGCACTGTTTGAAGCACCTTCCATACATCATTTAATCTTCACAGCAACCTTATCATTCCCATTTTGGAGATGGGGAGACTGAGGCACAGAGAAAGTAAGCCACCTGCCTAAGGTCACACAGTTTTTAAGTGCATGTTGGCAGTCTAAGTAGCAGAGCACATATTTAAACCACTATGATAAAAATACAAAATAAATTCACTTCCTCTAATAACTATCTAACCTCAACTTTAAAAAAATACTAGAAAAGATATTCATGGAATTCCAATGAGTTCAGGGATTTTGAATACTTACATGAATATTTTGTTTAATAACAGTAAATGCATAAGTTAGGATGTCAAATGAAAGTAGGATATAAAATTATATGAAGTGACTGGTTAGTAAAGAAAACATAGATATACACTCAACTTTGAAATTTTGAAGAGACTGCTTAATGAAGGGACTGTTTACAGAGGTGTGGCCAAGCATTACTGCCCCTAGGCCTGGACGATTTCCTGGAGCTGAGGAAGAAGGGCTGCCCACAAAAGCTGTGGTCTTAGGGGGTCATGGCCATTGTCAGAATGCCACCAAAACAGGAAAGGTGTGGTGAAGAAACACCTTGGCTTCTTTCTCCTCCCATCCTCCCCCTTCCTGCCAGAGCATTAGCTGAAACTAACCACAAGAAAGAAGAGTGGGGTGGTATAGGCTGCGGGGGTCAGTTTTTCAGTCTAGAGCGGGGAAAAGAAGGACCAAGAATGTGTTTAGGGGACAAACAAGAAGTAACTAGCAGAAAATGGTCCAAATAATGAGCCCCTGAATTAGGCCTTTGTAGTCAAGGTTGTGAGGAAGGGACAGGCTCAGGTCTATACTGTTTTTCTTGTGCTTTCCTGCTTTACAGACCTTTCTTCTCTCCCCACTATGCTTCCTTCTCCACTTGTCTAAGTCTTAGCCTCTCTTTAAGGCTCAAGTCAGGGTCACCTGACTGGCTCAGTCAGAAAAGCATGGAACTCTTAATCTCAGGGTCCTGAGTTCAAGCCCCACATTGGGTGTAGAGATTACTTAAGTAAATAAAACTTAAAAAAAAAATTGGAGAAAAGGTTCAACTCAGATCCTGTCTCCTTCCTTAAATCTTTCCTGATAGCCCATTTCATTGATCATGTACTCCTCTTAAACCCCACAATAATGCCTATACTAGTCATTTAACACTTAGCCTTTTTTATCTGCATTGTTCTATATCTTACTAGATAATATGTACTGATCCTCAAACTAAATAGAAAGCTCCAGAAAGGAATGAAGGATGAAGCTCTAAATATAGTATTTATTAAATAAACATTTACCCAAAGATGAGAAGGAATTCCATGAAGACGCCATTAACCAAGATAATGGTGTTTGATTTCACAGAGTAAATTCTCTTTGAGAAGGTAAGCCATATTTCCTTTGGAGCAATGGGACTGAGTTCTGTTTTTCTTTTCAGATGTGTAACTCCTTTTTTTCTGAATTCAGAAGCACTACATACTAATTCTAAAACTTCAAACAATATAGAAGCATACAAATTAGTCCTTCCCTTCTTCCTTCTACCCACATTTAACAAACTAATTTGGTGAATTCTCTTTCTGACTTTTTTCATGTATGTGTAATGATATAACAATGAATAATATCATACCTATTTATATTCTTCTACAATCTATTTTTTTTAGGTAATTGTTGTATTAAGAATATCAGTGTTAATATATATATTTTGATGATCTCATAATATTCTGTTTAGATATATATTAACTAATCTATTGTTGAACATTTAGGTCATGTCTGATTTTTTTATTATGGATAACAAGCAGTGAACATCCTTATAAACACCTTTTTTATATACTGTCTGATTTTTTCCTTAGATCAGCTTCATAGAATTAAATCAGCTTTCCTTATACCAACTTTTTCTTCTATAACAATTACCAGATGTTAACCATCTTTGTGTGTGTGTGTGTATTTGCACATGCATACTAATTCAATAAGTTAAAAATATTGTGTAGGGGGGACTTCCACTTTTGGAACAACAGAGTAGATGTGTCTTTCCTAATTTGTCCAGCTAAGTACAACTAAGGATCCTGGACACTATTTATAAAACAAACACAAAAGACTCTGAAAAGTGAAGGGGAATGCAGACCAACTAGGGACCTTGGGACCCAAGAAAGGACACAGTGGTGACTTTCTTGGTTATTCTTTTTTGCCTCAAATATCTGAGACTTGATTAAAGAAGCAGCAACCCAGAAATACCAAGGGTACAGACCAAACAAGTTGTAAAACCTCAAAAAACCCTGCTCTCTAGCTAAAGTACCAAGAAATGTGCAGCTGAGCAAGATGGAAAACATTTAGATAATAAATGCTCTATACCAGGCAAATACTAAAGAAAACACTGTGACCTCTCCCCTACCACACCAGCAAAGGGAGCCTAGATTCCGACTTCACTGAGCTGTAATAAGTACTTCAATGCCCACTCCTTGTCAGGATGTATCAAAAAAATCTGATTAGGGATCTAGGACTTCCCTCTCTGCCTGGTGATAATGAGGACCTTACCAGAGTTTAGTGTCAGACCCATGTCAGACCACATGGGGAGCCCGTACTTCCACTCTGATGCAGCAATAACAAGGCATCCCTCCTTCACCCTGCTGGAATGATGTCCAAGAAGTCTGGTGGGGAGTCCAACTTTCACCAACACCTAGCGTTAGCAAAGTGGCCCATCAGCATGGTGTTAGTGGAGGCCACATGGGTAACAGTAAGGAGGCTTTCCCACCCCTCCTGGGCATAAGCCCCCCTTTTTTTCTCCCTTCTGAAGCAGGATGTCAAAAAAAGTATCAGAAAAAGTATGCTAAAATGGAAGATTTGAGTAATATTCAGAGTCTCAGAATACCTAAAATGTCCAGATTTCAATAAAAAAAATCAATCATACCAAAAACAAGGAAAATCTCAAACTACATGAAAAAGATGATAAAATAGATGCCGATGCCAGGATGACAGAGATGGTAGTGTTATCTGACAAAGATTTTATTTTTTTAATTTTATTTTTAAGTAATCACTACACCCAGTGTGGGTCTTGAACTCATGAACCTGAGATCAGGAGTTGCATGCTTCCTACTGAGCCAGCCAGGTGCCCCTGACAAAGATTTTAAAACACATATCGTAGAGGCACCTGTCTGGCTCAGTCAGAGGAGCATGTGATTCTTGCTTACACATTGGGTGTAGAGATTACTTAAATAAATAAAACTTAAAAAAAACACCTATCTTAAAAAATTTTCAGTGAACAATTATAAACATACTTCAAGCAAATAAAAAAAACAGGTCCCAGTAAAGAAATAGAAGATGTAAAGAAGAATCAAATGGAAATGATAGAACTGAAAATGAAATAACCAAAATTAAAAACACAGAAGATAGACTCAACAACAGAAGAAAGGGGACAGAGGAAAGGATCGGTTAACTGGAAGATACAATAGAAATTATCCAGTCTGAACAGTGGAGAGAAATAGAGCAAAAATAGATGAACAGAGTTTTAAGAACATATGGGACTATAACAAAAGATCTAACATGTCATTCCAGAAGGAGAAAGAGGGGGGAGGGCAGAGCTGAAAAAAGTACTTGAAGAAATGATGGTTGAAATTTTCCCAAATTTGTCAAAAGGCATAAACAGAATCAAGAAATTAAATGAATGTCAAGCACAAAAAAACTCAAAGAAATTCATATAGAGACATATCATAGTCAACCCTATGAAAACTACAGAGAAAGAAAAGATCTTGAAGGCAAGCAAGAAATGAACCTTTGCTATAAGGTTCAAATAAGAGTATTTCTCATCAGAAACTATGGGGGCCAAAATGAGGAGGAATGATATTTTTCAAGTGCTGAAAATAAAGAATTAACAACCCAGAATGTCATATCCAGTGAAAATATCCTTAGGAATGAAGGGGAAATCAAGACTTTCTAAACTTTTTTTATTTTGTTTATTTATTTTTGAGAGACAGAGCAAGCACAAGCAGGGGAGGGGCAGAGGGAAAAGCAGACTCCCCACTGAGCAGAAGCCCAATGCAGTACTCAATCCAGGACCTTGGGATCATGACCTTATCCAAAGGCAGATGCTTAACTGACTGAGCCACCCAGGTGCCCCAAACAAATCTTAAGTAAAATTTTTAAAAATATTGTAAATTGGGGGCGCCTGGGTGGCCCCAAGAAATTCTAACATGAAGGAAGATTAAGAGAATTTGTCACCAGCAGACCTACCCTAAAAAAAAATGGCTCAAGGAAGTTCTCTAAATGGAAAAGAAACAAAGAAATTATCATGGAAGAAATACAGAGAAAGCAAAAGTATGGGCAAATAAAATGGACTTCCCTTCTCTTCTGTCTTCTTAATTATATTTGATGGCTGAAGCAAAAATTATAACACTCTTGTGGTTCTAAATATATATAGAAGAAAATTTTAAGATCACTCTATTACAAATGCAGGAAGGTAAAGGTACATAAAGTTTCTATATGTCACTCAAACTTTAAATAAGACACTGGTAGACTGTGATGTTTTATATACGTGTGTGTAGAGTAACCACTAAAAGAGCTATAAAAAGAAATACGTGCAGAAACGTTACAGATTAACCAAAATGTGGAATTCCAAAATATTTTCTACCTGCAAAAGGCAGGGAAAAGAAAACAAAGAAATGGAAAACATAGAAAAAAACAAAATGAAATAGGTACTTAAGACCAAACATACCAATAATCATGTTAAATGTAAGTTTTCTAAATACAGTAATTAAAAGACAGAGATTGCCCCCCTACATACACAAACACAGAATTATCTGTTCTGAAATATTGAGTACCAAGATTGAGAAATCCTAAACTGGAGTCTAGTTAAGTCTAGACTCTAGACTTTAAACAAATTCATGTTTTCTACTGCACATTACACTGCTGCTTTCTAGGGTACCTGGTGCTGTTTCCTGAGCCTTCCTGAAGTTCTGCAGCTCCCCTACCCACCTGACCAAGCAGTTAATAGAGGGAAGGAAGCTGAAATATAAGTTAGTTATAATTCATTTACCCCTTTAAACCTTCCAAACTTTTGTTGATAGCTTTTGTTATTTCCTTTCCCTTTGTCTTTGAGAATTTATCCTTTTATTCTCATTTTAATGGGGTCACAGAGAAAGGGAAATATTTATACAAGTGCTCAGCCTCCATGTTTTATCAGAAATCCCTACACTTTTTCTTGCAAATGAAATTAATTTATCTAAAAAAAAAAATCCTGTTTGATTAGCATCTTGGTGAACTTTATAACCCTGGAATGGTGAAGACTTTTCTAGCAAAGATTCAAAGTCCAGAAGCTTTGAAAGCAGAAGTTGATGAATATGCCACTTAAAAACTCATGAATGGTACACACAGACAAAAAACACCATAAAAAGACTATGTATTAAGAATTTTTTTAAAGAGTTTGCAGGGGGTGGGGAACCTGGGTGGCTCAGTCCATTGGGTATCTGCCTTCAGCTCAGGTCATGGTCTCAGGGTCCTGGGATCAAGCTCCGAGTTGGGCTCCCTGCTCAGTGGGGAGTCTGCTTCTCCCTCTCCCTCTCCCCCCTCCCCCATCCAACTCATGTGCCCTCCCTCTCTCTCAAATAAATAAATAAATATATAAATAAAATCTTTTAAAAAATTAATAAAAATAAAAGGTGAGGGGACTATGTAAAAACTTACATTTCAGTATGGCAACTTTTGGAAGGCAACCTGGCAATATCTACCAAAATCTAAAATGTTATATTTATTGACCCAACAAGCCACCTCTACAAACTTATCCTTGAGAATACAGTATTAACAGTTTGCTAAACTGTATATATAAAAAGAACTTCTATTAAAGAAATGTTCATAATAGCAAAAGTATGGAAACAACCCAAGTGCCCATCAATAGGCAAAGAATGCAATAAATTATGACATATCAACAAGATTCAGTATGACAGTCAACCACTAGAAAGAATGAGATAAATTACTATGTACTGACAGTGAATATATCTTTGACATATATTTGGAGGGGAAGAAGTGGGGAAAAAAGATATGTTTATATGATCCCTATGGATACATTTTGATTATGTATCTCTTTACATATACTTAGACATTATACCACCATATATTTTCCATTTATGTATGTCTCTAATTCCTAAAATATTTTCTGTTTCTGTAACACCAAAACTCTTCACCTTGGATGGGAGATTTAGGCAGGTGGGGGAAGAGATCACCAGCTGAAGCTATATCTTCATTTTTTAACCTTCTACCACTTGAATTTTATAACCTAGTACTTTTTTTTTTTTTAATGTTAACAGAGGGTACTTGAGCTGCGGCGTTGTTAGCTTATTTTCTCTTCTTCACATTCTTCTGCTTTTTAAAAACTAATAAACACTAATATTAAGAGAAAAATATTAACCATCCACAAAACTAACTGTTACTTATTCTGTTCATTCTAGGTTTCCAAAGTAACCAGTCATATAGCCTCTCTCCTGGCTATATCGTTGATAGGGCTTTTGACTATGTAATTAGTTTACTTAAGTGAAATTGTTCACTGTGGTAGCTCAAGATTCCAGGTCAACTATCCAGACACAGAGGAATTTGATGCCTGGTTATTATTAGAGTTTTATGGCTTTCACTGGGTTGACCCATAGTTTGGATCCTTAGTATATTACATCTGTTTAAATTTCACATTTTATGAAGAAATCAAACACACTTTCAATAAGGACCTATATTGACCTATTGAGTTCTCCCAAAATTGCATTTGTAAATTATCTCTCTTATCCTTACCTCCTTAGAAATTTACAGATATCCAAAAATGATTGAGATTGAACAGGCAGAGGCCCAGCTCTCTGAGTTAGACCTGCTAGCCAGTATGTTCCCTGGTGAGAACGAGCTCATTGTGAATGACCAGCTGGCTTTAGCAGAACTGAAAGATTGTATTGAAAAGAGGACGATGGAGGGACGATCTTCGAAAGTTTACTTTACTATCCATGTGAACCTGGATGTATCTGAGGAAGCAATGGTAATTCAGTTTGCTTTTTGAAGAACTGAAAGCCTGTCAAGAATTAAAACACCACTTAGGGCATTTTCTTCTTCTTTTTTTAATCAGGTGATGTTTTCTCTGGCTTGTATTCTTCCCTTTAAATACCCTGAAGTTCTGCCTGAAATTACTGTCAGGTATGTTACAGAAATTGGCCAACATCAAAGGTTAAAATTAACCTGAGAATAAAAGCAATGCTTAAGTTTTCTATTCCAAAAAATTGATTTAATTTTTATATTCCATATCTTTTTCATCAGATCAGTATCACTTAGTAGATCCCAGCAGACTCAGCTAAACACAGATCTGACCGAATACCTGCAAAAGAATTGTCTCGGAGATGTCTGTATATTGAATGCCACAGAATGGGTTAGAGAACATGCTTCTGGCTATATCAGCAGAGACACCACACCTTCCCCTGCTCCAGGAAGTACATTCCAGCCAGTTGATCTCATTCTCACAAGACTGTGGATCTATAGCCATCACATCTACAACAAGTGTAAAAGAAAGAATATTCTAGAGTGGGCAAAGGAGCTTTCCCTATCCGGATTTAGCATGCCAGGGAAACCTGGTGTTGTTTGTGTGGAAGGCCCACAAAGTGCCTGTGAAGAATTCTGGTCAAGGTTTGCTTTCACAAATGTTGTATGCTGTGTCAATAATTTTAGTAGTAAACAAGATACTAGAGATGTGGAAATTAGTATGTCCCTGGGGTTGTGCCTTATGGGGATTCGGTCTCAAGTCAGTGGATAAAACAGAACTCACATATAATCAGCGTCACCCCCTTCCCTGACATGGTGCACATAGATGTTCTGTATATAGCTGTTTAATGAAGCCCTGTCCAAGATGTTATGATCCCCTCCATTTCCATGGATCGGATTCTTCTTAGTGATGTGATAAGCTGTGCATACCCTGTGAAACAAACGGGTTTCTAATCTTCTCATTTCTGTACTGACATCCTGAATAAGTTTCTAAGAAGTCCCTTTGGGAGTTTGAGATACAGTAATTTCCACATTTCTAAAATGTTGATATGAGGCAGTAGCAATAAATGAGTTTGGGGATAGGATTATGACCAGCATCATACTGAATTAAAATAAATCCCTGTGAGATAAAAGTAAATTTCTTTACTTCTGGGAAAAGGCATTGAAAAGTCTGTTTTATAACTTCTATTTTCAATGCTCTAGAAGACAAAACACATTTTCAAAATATCTACTTTGAAAATTTCTTTTCAGACTCAGAAAATTAAACTGGAAGAGAATTTTAATTCGCCATCGAGAAGACATTCCTTTTGATGGTACAAATGACAAAATAGAAAGACAAAGAAAATTTTCAGGTTTTGAAGAAAAAGTGTTCAATGTTAATGGAGCCAGAGGAAACCATATGGACTTTGGTCAGCTGTATCAGTTTTTAAATGCCAAAGGATGTGCGGATGTTTTCCAGATGTTCTTTGGTGTGGAAGGACAGTGACTGGGCAAAGGAGTATTGAAAGAATTTTGTCACTGTTGGCCTTTTGATTTTTCCCCCAATCTTTCTTGAAAGATGAAGTAATTTGGGGTGCCTGGGTGGCTTAGTTGGTTAAGCATCTGACTTTGGCTCAGGTCATGATCTCCAGGTCCTGGGATGGGGCACTGCTGTCAGGCTTCCGCTCTCTCTGTCCCTCCCCCCACTCATTTGCTCTCTTTCAATCTCTCCCTCTCAAATGAATAAATAAAATCTTTTAAAAATAAATAAATTTAAAAAATGAAAATGGATTTAAGATATCAAAAGACAGAAGAAGAAGTCAGATGGTCCTGCCTGCACTGTATAATGTAAAAGACACAATAAAAGCTATAAGAGGGGAGGGGTGCCTGGGTGGCTCAGTCATTAAGCATCTGCCTTTGGCTCAGGTCATGATCCCAGGGTCCTGGGATCGAGCCCCGCATCAGGCTCCCTGCTCTGTGGGAAGCCTGCTTCTCCCTCTCCCCCTGCTTGTGTTCCCTCTTTCACTATGTCTCTGTCAAATAAATAAAATCTTAAAAAAAAAAAAAGCTATAAGAGGGGAGCCTGAGTGGCTCAGTCTGTTAAGCGTCCAACTCTTGATTGTGGCTCAGGTCATAGTCTCACAGTGGTGGGATCCCGTCTCAGCGGGCTCTGAGCTTGGCAACGAGTCTGCTTGGGATTCCCTCTCTCTCTCTCAAATAAATCTAAAAAAAAAAACAAAAAACTATAAGAAACTGTAGTTAAGGGCTCCTGGGTGGCTCAGTCTGTTAAGCATCTGCCTTCAGCTCAGGTCATGATCCCAAGGTCCTGGTATCAAGCCCCACATCTCCCTCTGCCCACAACCCCCCAGCTTGTGCTCTCTCTTGCTCACTCTCAAATAAAAAAATGTTTAAAAAAAGGAAAAACTAGTTAAATGTTAGGAAACATAGCTTTCTTAGATTATTACCAATGATTACATATTTGATATATAAACATCCCTGTTAGGTAAAATTGACCAGTATGATTGCACATACATTTATTCCACAATGACAGTCTGTCAGTGTATTAATTTGATATATATCTTGAACTGTAATCATCTACAAAGAAATAATAAATTCTGAAAAGAAACTATTAGTCCCAAATCAAACTATGGTTAAAAATTAAAGGGATTATTAGAAAACAAAAGTATGGGCAGGAAACAGTGGCCATATGTCCACTTTTATTTGTAAAAGTAATTCCTGTATAAACTTTTTTTTAAAGATTTTATTTATTTGAGAGAGAGAGCGCGCGCGCGCGCGCGCGCACCAGCAGGGGGGAGGGGCAGAGGGAGAGGCCGACTTCCTGCTGAGCAGGGAGCCTGATGCGGGACTCGATCCCGGGACTCGATCCCGGGACTCCAGGATCATGACCTGAGTCAAAGGCAGATGCTTAACCAACTGAGCCACCCAGGTGCCCCAAACAAATCTTAAGTAAAATTTTTAAAAATATTGTAAATTGGGGGCGCCTGGGTGGCTCAGTCGTTGGGCGTCTGCCTTTGGCTCAGGTCATGATCCGGGGTCCTGGGATCGAGCCCCGCATTGGGCTCCCTGCTCAGCGGGAGGCCTGCTTCTCTCTCCTCCACTCTCCCTGTTTGTGTTCCCTCTCGCTGTGTCTCTCTCTGTGAAATAAATAAAATCTTTAAATATATATATATTGTAAATTGTAAAATTAATCCCATAAATCCAAATTAGTTGAACTTGGACTAACAAAGTCAAAAGCCACTGTTGTCATTTGCACATTAATTTGATAAACTGAATTGTAAAACAAAATTGCATCTGCTGTGCAGAACTGATGATCACTTTGAGCACTAATATAAAAACTTACACAGGTTTTGTTTTTTTTTTTTTAGAAAGCTGTATAATAAGATATTAGAGAAACTCAACAGAATATATCGTTTGTGGACCTCCATAAAGACTGCAAGGCAGCTACAAGTTTATGGCATTTAAGGACTGATGCTCCTGGTACTTCCCTACCCCCTGCCACGATTACAACTATTTAGAACCATCTGAGCCCATAAAAATTCCGCAAAGGGGCACTGTGAGCCTTCTGGTTAAGCACAATTTAGCAATCTGCTCCCATCAGGACGGGGGAGGGATGTAGGCCTTAATATCTTTTGCCATCCCCCCCCCATCAAAGGCAGAACCCTTCAAGGAGCAGAGCAGCGATAGGGAAGATTTCAGCTCAGCATGAAAGGGGAGTGACTGGCTACCTGCTGACACCCGCTCCCCAGAAGATTTCAAGTGCTCCGGAGCTTTGACTGACGCTTTGGCCTTCCCCAGCCCCCGCAGCTTGAGCGCACGCTAGGGCTCCCACCGGGCGCAGCTGGGAGAGACCTAACGAGGCTTAGCGCAGGTAGCCACCGACTAGCCCTGGAACTACTAGCCCGGGTTGGGGGCGTTGTGAATGTGGGAGCAAGGTGGGCAGAGGCTTTTGACCCGGGGCTCTAGCCCTAGACTGCGGACTTGCCCTTCAAGTAGGGATCTCTCAGCTGGACGGGTGCGGCTGTGCTGCCGGATGGCCTTTTTCTTTTTTTTTTAACCGCTCATTATCTTCTGGGGAAAAGGCCTCGATGTGCATTCTTTTGGGATTTCCCAGATGCTGCTATAGCGGGATAATTGGTGGAATTCTGCTCCCTGAAGTTCTGGTGGTGCAGTCCAGGACCGCGTGTCTCCAGATTTTAACCAGGGAGTTATCTAAATGGAGGCTTATTTTTTCCTTCCCAGGGCATTTGGCGTTTTGGATTTTGTGAATCTCTTCTTTCTCCACCCACCCCCATATGTATGTAATACATTTTTATTAGAAAAGATGATTATTATAGGAAATGTAGAACTAACTGGATTTAAAACCCACCCACAAATCCACCTCCAAGAAGATAATATTAAATTTTGGTTTTACGTTTTATTTTCTAGTATATTATTTTTACTTATGGGTATATGTGATATTAAGTGATATGTGATATTCAGTTGAATGAATGCAGCATTATAGTTAGTTCTGGAAATTCTTTCTCATTTCAGTTTTGTTATTAAAGATATCAAGTACCTGTATTTGTCCTAAATACATGCATAAAATCCATTCATTTCAGCTTTAGTCCACCCTGATGGCATATAAAATTACTTTACAAAGATTTCCTTTCACAAACCTTCTACAACTTTCTTTTGCATTCAGATTTTGTCTCAAGCCATTTTTCACCAAACAACTGGTATCATTTTAAGACAAAATTTACCTTCAACAAAAATGTATTTCCATTCATTATATCTTTTATTAAGATTGATTTTATTTATTTATTTATTTACTAGAGAGAGAGAGAAAGAGCATGAGTGGGGAGAGAGGTAGAGGGGTAGGGAGAAGCAGACTCCCCGCTGAGCAGGGAGCCTGATATGGAGTTCAATCCCAGGACCCTGAGATCATGACCTAAGCTGAAACAGACACTTGACTGACCGAGCCACCCAGGCACCCCCTTATATCTTTCTTATATATCTCCTACTTCCTACACGTAGAGTTGCTTCCCTTATTTTCATCAGTTTTAATTACATTTAGCAGAATTTTAACTCTTAGAAAACTAAGTCTCCAATGAAAACTAAGTAGTAACCAATTGTGAACTGTTACACCAGAATTCTTTCAATGGCAAATTTATGAATCAATTAAGCACAAAGCATGCTTATCAACAAACTCAAATATCCTCAATTTCTCTGCAATAAGAAGCCAACAAACCTACATTCACTAATCAATGCTTTAGCACTCCTTTCTATTTAGAAAAGACCTAGATACCCAATGAGTTCAATCCCAAACATCATCCAAGCAAAACTTTAAAGTTTTAGGCTACCAAAGACTATCTTAACAATTACCCATGAAAACCTTGAGACGAACAAAATTAACCATTATTTTAAGTCATCTTTTTGCTGACAAATTGCAACAGAGATAACACAAGCTTATTTGACCTTGAGTAAACCTTGGTAGAATAAAAAGTTTCATATTTAATGCTGAGAATTCTAAAGACGTGTCTATCTTAATTAAACCAACAAACTTAAATTAGTTTAAATACCAAATTATGTTCCACATGGGTCCACTTAAGAGTCAATCAATTTGTTTCCCATTGTTAATTTTTATCTGGGGCACCAGTGTGGAAATCTGAAGTGGGCGGGGTTAGGTCCAACAGTGTGCTCTTTGCTCCTTGACAGCGAGGATAGGGGGAGTCAATGGTGCCAGAGGCACTGAGGATGGTATAGGAGACAGATATGCAGGCTGCACCGAAGGTGGTGCAGAAACAGGAGGAGGGTGAGGGGAAGGCAGAAGAGGTGAGGTGCTACCAGGAAGGCTGGAGGCAGATGAGAGTCCAGAGGGCAAAGAAAGAGGTCTCTTGGTCTTAAAGCTCATCCACTTGGACAGATGAAAAGACAGGTTGAAATGATGGCTGAAACCCAGTTTGCACTGCAGTTCAGAGTCTAGATGAGAAGATTCAGCCCCACACTGGGCACCAAAATGATGTGGTTTGGAGTGGTGGGGTTCAGAGCCCATGGTCAAGAAAGAATTCTTGAGACACCTTTGGTGCAAAATGGTGGCTTTATTAAAGCACAAGGACAGGACCCATGGGCAGAAAGAGCTGCTGTCCTGGGGTTGTGAGGAGTGACGGATTATATAAGATTTTCTATCCTATGGAGGGTGAGGGTGATGTTAGGGCTCCAGGCAATTGGGTCTATAGGTTCCTAGAGATTGCTTTTCTTCTTGTAAATCATTAAGACAGTTGCAAACTAATGGAGACTCATGTCCTACATGACTGTGATCTCTATCAGTTAACCACTTGTTTTTTCCTTTCCTTTGTTCTTAGGCAGCCAGTAGTGCCTGAGGAATGTCACACATATACCCCGGGGTGGGGGGAGGGGGGTTGCAATTTTTGTGCTGCAGTCTTATGCTTTGCCCTCAACTTGCCTTTTGCTCCCTAATCAATGAGATGGTAACCTTTTTCGGTTTTTATTTTGTTCTGTTTTCAGTTTTGTTTTCCAATCATCAAAGCTACTATGAGCATCCATTATGTCTTCATGTTAGATTTCCAAAAG